CCCCAAAACCCCAAAACCCCAAAACCCCGTTTTAAGTTAAAGTTTAAATGTTAGTAAAGGTAAGATATAATAAATATTTGGAAATAAATGAGAGTTATCGTAACTGAGAAAGGACAAGATCTTCGTAAAGAACTGTTCTTTGAAAAGATCAACAGCTAAGCTTCTATATAATTAGTAGATGATAAGTCAGTCAATCAAGGAGCGACTTCGAATAGAAAAAAGACTAATAGAGGTCTGAGTTTAGGTTCAGAAAAGGATCATTTGATGAATCCTAACTTTTACCAAGAAAATGACATGAATACAATGCAAAAAACTGCGTAAAAATTTAAGACGATTGATCCTTAATTCAAGAAAAGCATTTAATCTTAATACTCTTCCTAGCAAAGGGCTCAAACATAGCATCCAGATATGATTGAAATGTAAATTCATATTCCAAAAATCAAGATTTCAAAATATTTCAAAGCCAAGTACTAAGGTGCTTACATTCCCCCATCTCAAATAAAAGAAATGAACAATAGAAAAGGTGGACTCGTTTTTTCATAGAGTGAAAAGTAACTCGATAAAACCTAGATGAACAAAATTTAGCAGTTTAAATATGAAATGTAATAGAAAACTATGAACAGTACTGAGTCACAGCTCTTCCCAGCTATATCATCAATGAAACAGCTTCACATACCAAGAAAAGAAGAGAAATAACTTAAAGAGATCTAGCATGAGCCAGTATTGATAAAGAAAAATGCTGAACAATTCTAGGAAAATTATAAACTCTGGAGCGGTTAATTATCAACAGCTTTTTCTAGAGAACATCTTTTATCACCTTCTTTTAATAAGAATCTTCATAAGCTTCCATTTGGTTATTTAAGTTCAACTAGATCTTCAACCAATTTGCAAAGAAGATAGAATTTTGCCTCTACTTTGTAAAATTTTACTTCATAGCTCACAGCTGGCTAGACACTGGCAACATATAATTTTAGGGCAACTGGCTAATCTCAAGCAAAGAATACTGAATTAAACAATTCAAAAACAGATTCATTGATTGAAGATGAAGAAGAGCAGGAAAGAATGAGAAAGGATAAGATAAAGTGGAAGCATCACCAGGATGAGGCAAAGAGAGCCAAGATGATGATTAGACTTAGAGAGAAGTTAGAGGTACCAGAATCTGCGCCAGAATTATATGATCCAAGAAGAGTGTAGGAAGAAAGAGATTTCATCGAGAATGCAATTAAGAGAAGCGTCCAAGGAGAAGGATCTAAAGATAAAGTTGAGAAAGAGCATAACTTAAAATACAAGAAGTATTGGGACAAGGATCATGCAGCATCACTCTCTAACATTAGAAAATATGATCTTTCCTATGCTAGATTCAAGGATTTAAACAAGAATCCACAAAACATATTAGTCTTTAATGGAAAACTTCTGGACTACTTGTAGAAGACAAATAATGGAAAGAAGCAAACAAATGACACAACAAGAAATGAGAAAAATAACACCCAGAAAGACTAACTTTGATAAGTTTATTCAATATTAATTTATTTATTTATTCTCTTTCAGAATTATCGAAGGGGGTTTTGGGGTTTTGGGGTTTTGGGGTTT